TAATCCAAAGAGGTCATTCCAATGGGAATGCCAAATCCACTCAAGACATTACTCCAACGGTACCTAAACGTTTGATTGATTTGTAGGAAGCGAGGGACTAGAATAGAGGTGAGGATTCAAGCTTATCCTGTGACAAGTCTACGATGTATCAAGAACTCACAACCACATCCACACTCAACCTAGTCAAAACAAACCGTCTTACACTAGGAGAAGGAATGAAAAAGAGTGATTTAGCATACCCAAGAGGAACTTTTCCTTGGATTAGCCAACTTAAAGCTTAGCTACTCATATTTAATGCAAGAACATACATAAAGTAAAGAGACATTGTGAAGAAATAAAGATTGGAACTTGAATTAATGCAAGAAAAGTTAAACTATGAAGAAGTACATTTAATACCCATTTTAAGAACTTGAAATGAAAAACTCAATACAACAATGGTAGAATCTAAAATGCATAACTAAACTTGCAATACTCTGAAAATAAATGACATTAGTGCAAAAAATGAAGCTTAAAAGAGTCTTACAGAAGATTACAAGTGAAAATAGGTAAATGAAATGCAAAAATCTAACTTCTCCCTCTAAACTATGTCTTCCTCCTTGAGCTTTTGTCTCTTCAATGCTGAATGAATATGAATTATTGCTTGTATTTTTGTCCATGGAGGTCCTCTAGCATGTGTGACAGGCTTCCCATCCATAGGAGCCTGAGTTGATGGCTTGGACAGGCTAGGCTTGTCCTAGTCTACCCTGCAACTCCCTTGGCTTCCCTCTTCTTTCTCTTCCTCAGTAATGCTTGAGCCTCCAAAATCCAACCTTAGGCAAAGGGAGGTATGTATGTGTGTAAGAGATGTCAGGGGACAAGTGGGAGAAGCATAAAGTGGGACCCTCAAGTGGCAAAGCTTGAGTTGTAGGCTGTCTGGGATTTTTGGGTAGAATCATCTGGAAGGTCGATGCAAACCTTCCGAAAGGTTTTGGCAGTGAATAGGCAGACCAAGTGCAAACATTCCGGAAGGTTTATAGCCAAACCTTCTAGAAGGTTTTCATCCAATTTGTTTTTTTCTTGGTTTCTTCACCTTCCAATCCTTCCTTTAAGCTATCCCCTCATCTTCACTGACTTTAAACACTACGATGGGAGCTTAACTCAAGCCATTTACAACTTTTCACCTATATTCACACAAAACTTCATTAAAAGGTAGATTAACTGTATTTCTTTCCAAATTCACTACAAAAGCAAGTATAAAAGGGTATAACCACGTATAATATATGCAATATTTTGTGCTAATTACGCTTCCAAATCCATCACATCTCGAGGGAAGACAATATTGTTGCAGATGCGCTAGCTGGGATAGCCTCATCCTCGGAAGCCCTACTAGCACCAAAATCATGGGTCACCAATTCGAACCAAGTAGGCTAGACGAGGAAGTCACGAACGTCAACTACACATCTACCGAGTCAAATTGGAAGATCCTTATTATGGCATACCATCAAGAAGGCACACTACTAGACAACCCGTTGGAAGCCAATAAACCTAGAATGAGAGCCTCCAAGTTCACCATCCTACAAGATATTCTGTACAAAAAGGGCTACTCTCTACCATTACTATGTTGCCTCTTCCTAGAGGAAGCTAACTATGCCCTACAAGAGATCTACGAAGGAATTTGTGGAAACCACGCTGAAGGATGCTCCCTAGTTCACAAGGCACTCAGGCAAGGTTACTTCTAGCCTAGCATGGTTAGGGACGCACAAGAGTTTACCAGGAAATGCGACAAGTGCCAACGCTTCATCACTATGCCCAGAAAACCACTAGAAGAATTGACAACCATCACAAGTCCATGGCCCTTTTCCAAATGGGGCATAGACATCTTGGGCCCTTTGCCTTAGAGCAGGAGATGGTGCTAATTTGTGGTAGTAGTCATCAACTACTTCACAAAATGGGCAAAGGCTAAGCCCTTAGCAAAGATAATAGATGCAAAGGTCAAGGACTTCATCTGGAAAAACCTAGTCTGTCGCTTTGGTGTACCCCACGCCATAGTCAGTTATCAATGACAACATCTAGCAATTTGACAATAGACTCCTGAACTTGTTCTGGGTCGACCTCCAGATAAAACAACCTCATTCTAACCCGGCGCACCCGCAGGCAAATAGACTAGTAGAGGTCACAGTCAAAACAGTACTGTGTAACCTAAAGATGAGGCTAGAAAGAGCAAAGGCCCTCTAGTTAGATGAACTCTCAGGTGTATTATAGGCCTACCAAATGATGTCAAGGACCCTGTCTAAAGAAAATCCTTTCTCATTTACCTTTGGGACTGAAGCGGTTATACCTATGGAGATTGGGATACATTTCCTAAAGGTCAAACATCACGACCCCATCACCAACGTGGAAGGACTTTGCATCAACCTGGACTTGGTAGAGGATGAAAGAGAAATGGCTATGGTCTAAAACGCAGAGTATAAGCGTCGCTTGACAAGATACTACAACTTGAGGATGAAGCCTCGTTACTTCCACTTAGGAGACTTGGTTCTCAAGAAAATAATCCTCACCACCAAGGATCGCAAGAAGGGAAGCTTGGACCAAACTGGGAAGAACCCTACCTCATCACAGAAATAGTGAGGCGAAACATCTACAGGATCCAAAATTCTGAAGGAAAAGTCTTACCCTATCCATGAAATGTCAAGCATCTTAAGAGGTACTATCAATAACACTTAATGAGGGTAGACATAATGAAGCTGAGGGGCTTGATTTTACTTTTTGTATCTTTTTTGGGTTATTACCCACCATTGCTTAGAATGAGCAGTCATCAAATAAAATTTTCTAAAATTTACTTTGAAAAGTTCCTTATATTCTATTTCAAGTGAACATTAGTGGTAAAAAACCACTTTTACGAAAGTAGGCTACACATTGCCTTTCTGCAAAAAAAAAAATTGAAAGTCTTCAGTACTCTAACTGTTCTCATGACCACCATCTTCCTCATCCTCATCCCATGCATTGTCAGAGTCACCATTATCACCATTAGCATCATCAGGCGCCTCATATGGCACAAAGTTTGAAAAGTCAATATTTGGAAAAATAGTAGAAATGTTTCCCTGAAGCTCCTCATAACCATCAATAAAGGCATCTGCAAGGCCACTCTCTAAAGTAGCCTCAGCCTTGGTGGCCCCCTCATGAGCCAATCGCAGATCTACCTCAGCACAAGAATCTCTCTCGCGAGCTGCCTTCAACTTTGCTTCCGCTCTCAAGCGGGCAGCCTCACCATATGCCTTGAGCTTAGCGACCCTTTTGTGAGTTGCCATAAGCTCTACTTTGGCCCTCGTGCAAGCAGCCTCTCTGAGCGCGGCCCTCTCATGGATTGCCATAAGCTCAGCTTGGGAAGCCTTACCATCAGTTTCAAGCTCAGCAATCCTCCTTTGAGCTATAAGAAGCTCCCTTTTTACAGCGTCTTGAGCAAGCATCTCCCCTTGACAGTTGAGCTCATTTGGCTAAACTAGAAAGCCCTTAAAAAAAGGCACACAGACATAGCTGAAACCTAAGGAAGATAAAAGAATGTTAGTATCCAAGAAAAGGACAAGAGAAATGGAGAAAACAAGCCCTTACCTGGGCCAGACCATCCAGAACAGTGTCGATGATGTTCTTAGTGCCCCAAGCACCAGCCTGATTAATGTCTATTGAAAACACAAATCTCCCAAGTCGTTCCCTGACGATCCACACATCACCCAGCATGGAAACAATATGAGTGGCTACCCCTATAGAAGTCTCCGCAAGAGGAGTTGATGAATAGGGGCAGGAGGTATGACCGCTTGGAGACTCTCTACAGTGGTGGACACCTTTGAAGGAGTCACTGACTGGGGACACACCACAAAAGGTGTCATCTGAGAGGGGCTCGCCAGAGCATCACTCACCCTTACCACCTTAGGATGAGGAGTACTCCTAGTTGAATAACGAGACTCTACCACTATCCTATCCACTACAAGAAAGATAAAGTGTTATCCTAAAGAGAGACAAAGTAAAGAAAGACAATCCGAGGGAATCAGCATACATTTTCTCTTTAAAGAAGAACCACCAGGCCCCGAAAAGGGCGCCCCAACCCTAGCACTTCTAGTAGGGAAATTTCTTGTTCCACCATCTCTAAGCATGAGGGTCCCAAAGTCCTTCATAGGATGAGCCTTCACAGCTTGTAATTTTCATTCTTGGTCTTTTTAGGGCACCGGGGAGCCTAGAAGAAAAGTTATGAGTACATGCTCCAAAAAGACAAAGGAAAAAGAATAAGAGTGGGCATACCAATTCTCATAGGAATGTCCCATCTTACTGGTACCAAAGCTCTATTAACCTCTGAAGCCCACTCTCCTCCAACAAACATAAAGCAGGCCTTCCAGCTATGGCAATTAGAATGCAGTCCGATAATTAGTTTTCCTTTCCTCGGAGCAAAATAATACCAGTCGCGATTAGGAGCATGAGTCTCACTCAAAGTGTAAGCCGCACAAAAATTTTTAGGAGAAGCACCAACCATTGGGCGCCAACCACCTTGACACAAGTGAAAAACAATGGAGAATACGACAAACAGAAGAAGGCATTGGGAACCTCAGCTCAGCCTCAAACACCTCCTCATAGATAACAATATCTCTAAAGGAGTGATCATAAACAGGCTCACCCACTTCGGCTCGACCACATAGTACCGTTGGGAGAATATTATAAGTGAAAACAACCCGCAGTATATCAGCACCAGTGTTGAGGGTACTAGAAATGGTACTTACTTTAGATCCGTAGTCATCAAGAGCTACTTTTCCCTGGTGGTTGCTATTGCGAGGGTGAGAAATATTGTTCGGGCCTCTACTAGGAGAGCCTTGTGGGATCTGACTCTGTGGGGTTCCACCTGAACGAACCAAAACATCCATTCGATCGAAATCATCACTATCAGCATTCCTCAGCGTACTCTACTCTATAGCTCCATGCCCAACCTCTGCTGCCATGCCTGAGTCGCCCATTACCACATGTTTGCTCGGCTATGCCTACCGTCCACTGTTGCTACCTGCGTGCCTGCCTGGCCATGCCTTGTACCTATCGACACCTTTCTTACGCTCGTCGACCCTTGCCCAGCACCCAAGGGCGTTGATTCCACCATGATCACTCCACAACCAACCTCGCCTAATGGCGCCTCCACCTCTTGGTTCTGCGCCTCACCTTCGACGCCTTCTCTATGACTAGTAGGGCCGCCAGACCCAAGCATCTATCCGAGCCGCCTCACCCTCGATGCCCAACTGGGTTGTCTTGCAACTGCCAAAGCTCAACCCCTACAACTGGTGCCCAAGCATGTTGTCCCCAGCGTGCCCTGCCTTCCGCAGTCAACCTCACTAGCACACGGCACCCATGGCACCCCATTGTCGCCACCTGTTGTGCCATACCTTCAGCGTCTATCTCCTCCTCACCCTCGACATCTGGTTGAATCCCACCTCGCCTTCAGCGCCATCTTGGTGTAAACTCCCACATGTCTAAACTATCAACAATCGTCCAATTAGCTTCATTTTGTATTTAACGTCTCCATTTACATCCTAAATCAAAATATAAGAATAATAAATATATTTAGGCTCCAAATAAGTATAAAAGGCTAAATATTAAAAGAGAAAAAAATATGACATTTTGCATTCTCATCAATTAGCTAACTTAGAGGAATTAAAGAAAAATGTTGATGGATATACTAGTTCTACATCATGTTGTTATAAATGATTCTAGGATATGGATGGTAATTTAGTTTTGGTTTATGAATGATGCTAGACATGGATCTTTATGCAAGTCATACTATCTATATTGGAGATAGGTATGAGATAAAATTTGTGACAAAAGACACTCAAACTCGAGTTAGACAAGTATAGAAGAATCAAACAGTCCGGCAGACTACCTTTCACCAATTTGATCATAACACTATGTTGGAAAGTCCAAATTGTGCACCGTTATTTTTGTTAGAACCCTAACTCATATATCTTTCCAACCATATAGGTCACACATACTAGAAATACCTGAGTCAAATCAATTTATTCTCTGAATTTGATCAAAAATCTACACTGTGGTGTTCCTTGGATGGTAAAGTGTTGTGCTTTCTTCTTAGACTTAAAAGGTGTAAACCCTCACATGTTTATATTAATATAGTAATGTACTTGTTTAGCGATTCTTATATATGTAATAACGTAAGAATAAATCATATATATTGAAACCGTAAGAATAAATACTAAGGAGGAATAAAATAGTAATTTTAATGTTTCGAGTATAAATTTATTTTAATTTTGAAATAAATCATAAAAATAAATATTTTTAAGTTAAAATAATATTAAAAATAAATCTGGAACATCGAAAAACCTTAAGGTAGTCATATGGATCAAATTGAAGATTCTTAGTGATAAAACCGTAATTTGGAGAAACCAAAAACAGCCTGTGAACAATAAAAATCAGGGCTGCTGTGTTTAAAAACTCATTTTCATCCCATTTACTCCCATTCTCTTCACTCCACTCTCACCCCACACCTTTTGGAACCTTAGAGGAAGATTAAGGAAGAAAGAAAAGGAAAAAAAGAGGTCACTAGAGCTTGGGTTCTTGTAGGAGTTTCTCTCACTCTTGTTCATTGAGGCTAGGGCTATATATATATATATATATATATATATATATGACTCTAAATCTTAGATATGTGTTAGTAAATCTTTGATATTTGATATTCTTGCAAATATTATCATGTTTAAAATAAGGCTATGGTTGGATTGCCATGAAACCTCTATTTCTTGTTTTGAAAACCCTTGTTCTCATGAAAGATGAATTTTTCTCTCAATATTCATTTTCTCTTGATTTCTAAAATTTTAGTGCTTTGTGTTGAGTAACAAATGATGTTGTTGTGATATTTTATATTTTTCCTTAATTAGTTATTAGAATTGTTACATGATAAATTTGGGAATTTTTGAGATATGCTTGTAAAATGAGAAATTGTGGATTTTGTAATTATTTAGAATTGTTGGTGAATTGAAAATATTTTGGTTTCCTCATTTTTATGGTTGTTGTGATGGACTTGGATTGCCATCGAGAGATGTCGTAGAGTGTTAGAGGTTAGTCTATCCCAGTGGGGGTGAGATGGTTTTCTAACACTTGTAGTAGATTGTCATTTGGTAATGCGACCACTATCGTTCACTGGAGTTCGAACAAGGGATGATATATTTTTTCTGGGAAGGGATTCATCCCATTGGAATGGTAGACGTCCTTTCCTAAAGTGCTTGTGATTGTGATTGTAATTGGTGGACTAGGTATAATCGTTGGATAGATTCATGAGAAGCAATCAACATACATGATAAGGGAATGAACCAATATACATGGGATGATGGATTGGATCGTCTTGTCAATGCGTTGGTATGGGACAATGCATCAGAAGGCGCCCTTCCTAAATGGTTTAAAGTTGAAAATGGTATATTGTTGTGAAATTTACTTTATCCTTTCACTTGATTATTGTTACGGCTTAAACTTGGGATCTATTTAAAATGTCCTATTTTTTCTTCAAAAATTGATATATGTTATTTACGAAATGAGACCGACCAATTTTTATCTGTTTTCTAAACCTTGTTCGAGTTTGGGAGGATTTTTCCTACAGAGCTTCGTGCTCACCCCATACAGTAAAATATTTTACAGATTATGGGCCAGAGGAGGAGCTTAGTGCTAACGAGCCGGGCCATAGAGAAGCTTCATTAGAGGAGTATTTGGATCCCGAGTGAGATATCTAGAGATGTCGTTTATTTTTGTGCTAGATTAAGAACGATTATGTACAATCATGTAAAATCTAATATTTTGTTTATTCTGTGGCTAAGTTCAAATGTAATTTTTTTGATGTAGCAGCCTGGTTTGGGCTTTTTCTTTTGGATAATGTTGTAAATACTTTAGGGATAAATGAACCCGGTGTGATCAATGTAGTATAATTGCACAGGTTGTGTTTTTGGTAGAGCTCCCCGAACAAAGGAGACCCTGCACGAATTTTATTAAATTAAGGACCCCTGGTTATTTATGAATTTTATTAGTTGTTCTCATGGTATGAATGATTTTAGAAGGTAATACCTTCCAGGGTGGTTTTTGGGGCGTTACACTTGGCCTGCTTGGATCTTCTCCTCACCAACACCCATGGTCTTACCAATGTTCACCTCTCTTGCATCAACATCATCAACTCCACCACACCTTTACTCCCCACCGACATCGAGGGCCATTAGCATCTCCTCTCTTTCACTCGACATCAATATCTGGGCACTCAACTCAGGAACAAAGTCTCCAGCCTCACTCGTCTGGCCTCTTATCTTGGTTCTTCGGTATCTCACAAAGAAACCATCTCAAGTTGTATGGAATGAAAAGAAAAGGAAAAAAAAACCCCAATTTATAGCATAAGGTTTTTAAAATCCTATAAAGAGATAAAATGGGGGGAGTTTATATAACAAGAGATGTAGGTTTTATTGGACTCGGAGCATTGGGGGGCAAATGATGGGCCAGACCCAAGGGCTTAGCTCAAGATATAAGCCCAACTTAAATAAAGGACCCAACTAGACGAAACCTAGTGGGTCCATCCCAAAAGAGGTTCACCCCCAATCAAGCTCACCAGGGTTTGAGGAGCAACATCACCAAGGAGTAGGCTCATCCATGCCACATTGGAAAAAGTCAACCACATCATCCTTTAACTTGATCTTAAAGGGAGTTTTTGTAATTGCCTCAATCGTTGAGAGATCGATGCCAACTCCACCAATTTAGCTATTTAGTTACTGAAAAGGCGCCTCAGTCTATTAAGAGGCACTATAAATTGTAAGTCCCTCAAATACTTGGGGGACATCGAGCACATCTGCTATCACTCTGATCTTTCTCTCATAGCTTGTACCTCCATTGCTCTCTCCTAATCTCGTTACACTCCTCGAAGTAATAAAACACCATGTCATCCTAGTCCTTCACAGTGGAGTAGGTCACATTAACTGAACCACTCTACATTTTTGTCTTGCTTTTATTACTCTCTTTTTACTTAATTACTACATTAATTATTAATTACTGGATAGGTGGTGCATAAAACTAATTTGTGCATCATCAAGATAAATTTCTTTTGGACCTATGAACTTTCTCACTTAATCATATATATTACCTCATATATTAAAAATTACTTGCATTCCCATAAGTTATTACATGTGTTACTAATAAACTCCTATCATCAATGTCTGATAAATCAATAGTGTCAAAATTAGTTAATGTCAACAAATTATCCTTGAATAATCCTCAAATTATCGTTTGTGAGACACAAAGTGTCGAGATTCTCACATTTGTGCTTCCTCTTTTATTTCGGATCTCACCTTTGTAATTATTGATTATATTTTTTTTTGATAATTTTTTTTTTGGGTGGGGGGAGAGGGGAGAAGAATATAGGGTTAGAACCCTCAACCACTTGTCGGCAGTAGTGAACTCTTATCACCAGGTCATTCCCTCACCTCAAAATGTTGACAAACAACATCAATGTATATATGAAGACCCCTCAAGGACCACTAATCATAGCAACAAAACTATAGGCATAGTGATTATATACTCATATATTCCTATAGAAAAACCCAATATACACTTCCTGATATAATTGTGGCCTCAAACGTAACATGAAAGCACGTTTGAGGCACCATTGAATTAATAAATATTCAACAATAACAAATATAGGTTTTTGAATGAAAATCCTATGAAGAATTGCGTTTTGTTTTTTTTGTTGGTGAAATGAAGAATTGCATATGAAAAATGAGTGATAAAAGATCTGTGCGAGAAGAAGAAAGAACAGTGCAACAAAACCTTCTTTTAGTCTTTGTTTCTCAAACGTTACTGGTAAGGAGTGCACAAATAAATATTCATATGTGAGGGGTACGGTATGTCTAAATAGGTGACAAACATCAATGGACAAACAATGATTGATTTCGGAAAGGATGCTTACCGAAAGAGTGAAACATTATGTTCATTGCTCTTCTCCTAAAATCTCTTAGAGCCAATCGGTTGCCTGGGTATAATTTATCGTATATACATGGGTTGCCTGCACTTCATTATCTTGGTTATTGTGCTTCTATTATTGGCCATTCTTTTCTTTTCTTTGTTTTTTTGCCAGAAAAAGAGGTGGAGTAAAAAATATGTTCATAGATCACTTTAATAAATTTTCACTAATAAAATCATGAGATTTTTAACCGTCAACCATTGAATTCTAATATAAATTTTAAAACTTGAAGCTGTAATTTTAAAATAAAAAATTTGGTCGGAACCTGGCTGGACTACCGACTCCATGGTACTGTTATTGGCCTTGTCAAACCCCTACAATTATTGCCAAACTACCGACAAATCACCTGACCGACGTGATGTTTAATGGGGTCCCTCTTTCATGTCCTATTAGCTAAATTTAGTTGGTCTTCACTTTACGTGACCAACCAATATAGTTCGTCCATCAACAAATTGAATTTCATGTGAATAAAATTGAAGTATTTTGATGGATTTTAATTTTTATAATTTTTGTTATGAATTAAAAAAATCTAAATCCCAGAATCTCAATCGAATAGTTTAATTAAGCATTAGCTAATAATTCTAAAATTCATAAAGTGATCACAAAATGTCATCGACATATATAGTATATAAATATATAGATACATACACCCACACTTAAATTAGATCAAATCACACTCTGATTACAAACTTGAATTTCTGTTTTGAATACATTAAATATGATACGAAGGATTGGTGGTAATGTACTTTATTAATCTCAAAATACAAATTTATTTCAAGAAACTAGATTTGAATGAAAATTTAATCTATTAAAAAGCCTAAACATTACCTTGGGAATGGGCTAAAGGGGTTACCACTTTTAAACTTAAATGTCCGGGAAGGACACCAACTTTAATTCAAATTAAAAATTTTGGCATCTCAATTTGTTGTGAAAACTTATCTTGTGTCACTGAGGTGTATGGTGGTCTAATGGAATATCGGACGAATTTTTTATTTTGAAATTGAAAGATCGAGTTTTAAAGTTTACATTGAGACTCTATGCTAGTCTAAATATATTCGTTTTCGAGAGGAGTAATGAACGCGGTTAGGGTCTTCACGTTTGCTTTTTAAAAGGAGCGCACTAAGTTGGTTTTGTTCAAAAATTACAATTGAAATTGAAGCAAAAAAAATGATACAATTTCGAACAACAACGGGATATATAAATTTATCTAATATTATATTTGAAATTTTGGATTTTATTTGCACGGGCTTTAATGTTATACAACTCAACTAACACACCCTAAAATGCTAGACAATCTCCTATTGTATACCTACATTTGTCTTCTCTCTTCCCTTCTTCTCTTTTATTTTTTCTCTCATTACTTTAATTTTAAATTATATAATTAAAAAATTATGATTTAAAATATAAATATTACAGAATTAATATTTAATTTTTAGTATTACATACTGTTTTAAAGCACAAAAATATTACTAACATTTCAATAAAAATATATTTTATTGTTGTTATTTGATAGGCTAACAATTTATCTTTCATAATTCGAACATTGTCAAGTAACTCCAATCTAGATTTAAAAATTTATTTTTTCACTAATCGATGGATTGTTGTATACGTTATGACACAAGTAGAGCACGTTCCAGAATGACCTATCTTGTCACTAGGATGGTAGAAAACGAATAACACTACTAAAAAGTAATTTTTTTGGTAATTTACCAAAAATGTTTACTTAACATAGATTTCGTTTTTATCTTCTCTTTATTTTTTTTGTAGCCATTAAACATAAAAATAATAACATAAAATAAAATAAAAATTTTACAGATGTCATGGATGTTTTTATTAAACAAAAAATGATATAAGGTTCCAAAAACCCTAGTCCAAAAAATTGACAGAAACATGACAGTACTCCCCCTCCCCCCCACCCCCCCCACCCC